CAGAAAACAATATGTAATATGATACGTCATTTGATAGATGAAAACCTTGGCTTTCTATTAGTTTTACATAATTCAGTATTAAGAGTAAGAGAGAACTATTAACAAAGCCTGAAAGAGAGGATGTGGCAAGAGAGATCTGATTTTTTATTTGATGGCTCTGTAACCAAACAAGATTGAAGACTAGAAAAATTATGGTTTGTCTGAGCAATGATGATTTTATAGTGAGTAACTTACATTGAATTTCTTACTTATTGGAGGGGTGGTGAATTAAATAAAGAAGAAGGGGTGCCTAGAGAAAATATGTCACATTTCTCACACTAGGGGAAATTCAGAATTTTTAAAAATATTATCTTATAAAATTAAAACCCGGATACTATTAAAATATGGATTATTAACTACAATTTTATACTATATTAATTGGTATAACTTTAACAAAAGTAGTTTAATAAGACACCAAAACCTTGTGACATGCGGAGTAACAGATGCCCGTGGCAATAAGTTTAAGAAATTAAAACTAATAAAATATTAAAATTTGCATTATACACTAAATTTTTAAGCAATGTTTATTGACATACATTGCTTATTAAGCTGTTTAATTTAATTTTGAATGTAGCTCTGATGTGCACTTTAATATGGTTAATACAAAATACAATAGAATTCTTGTGACTAATACACTTTGTCTGGTACAAGAAGTATATTAAGATTAAACTACACAAGGACTCACCTTTTCTGTACACTTCCTAAGGACATTGCCTAGCTCACTAACAACTAAATCCACACATTTTAGAGAAGGTTCCTTCAGCCTGGCTATCTGTCTTTTAACAATAGCTTCAAAAGCCATATCTGGAGTGAAAAGCCCAACCCTGAAATGTAACATTATTTTCTGACTATATGTATACTTATGGAATACTAATGTGTTGTGAAACACCTGTTTATTTTAAAACACAGCACTGCATGTAGATATAAAATAATGATCAGCCAATTATACTCATTCATGGTACTGTGAAACCAGAATTTAAAATGCAAATATGTATACAGATATAAAATGGTCTGTAGTTTAGATGTTAATTTCTTCAAGTCAACAAAATGTGAATTTCAGTGAAGAAAAGATTAAGTATAGGTCTATTCTATTCTTTGATTTGCTCCTTCTGTTGCAGTGGACTAATTTTTGCTAAATCACATTTTGTAAGAGCAAAGCAAATAAATAAAGTAGGCCTCATATAGTGGAGAATGTAAGCAATTTGTTTGGTTTTGATGTATAGTTCTTTACTCAACAACCTAGAACACTTTAGGTGTTTGGACAACATATGAGATACCATCACAATTAATTATCCATTATTATTATTCAGCAGACTAACAGTTTATCTATTTAGTTGTTAATTTCTTTTCTATGCCAAAATGCAACTTTTAGTGAAGAAAATAGTAGATCAAGTTAAACTTCAGTTTAAACAAAATAATACAGTTAAAAATGTCTAACCTAAAACACTTATTCAAGGACATTTGTGTTTTTACAATCTGTATTTCTATCATTCGAACCACTTAAAGGTCATTAAAAAAATTTGGATATCAGTTTAGAGCAGAGAATCCTTATTGTTCAAATAAAAAAAGGCACTTGAAAACAACTATGCAAGTAATAATACTAAAGCTTAACAAATTACTAGTATTGCAATATTGCAAAATGAATAACCAGAAGTAATGCTTTTCTGCAAAAAGGCTTACCTTATACCATGGATGTTTCTGATTGCAAAAGCAATTTCTTTTCTCAATTCTTTTTCATCAAACTCCATCTTTATTTTATTGAAAAGAAAGAGAAAATGTTTTAACAAGTCCTATAAAACACATTAACATAGCTTAAAAAATAAGCCTACAAGTTTCCTTCTGAGCATTTTCTCACTTTGTTTGTGATATTCTTAACTCTAAAGTTAATTGTCTCAATCACTTTGAAAGTTCAAAAGTTGTATACTATATAACAAAATCTTTGCAATCATAAAACAAAGTAAGAAATGCTTTTAATCCTATATAAAAGCCTATCTTTCATCAGTATAATGTATGACCATATCACTTAGCCCAATTTATTCCCTAACACTTTCCAAAATGGAAGTTTACCCTTATTTTTTAAAAATTCTATACCAATTAAGCTCTTTCATTGGAGCCTAACAACAGCTGTTACACATAATTAAAATGTTTTGAAGTCCATATTCTTGTAAAGTTCTGTCAATTGCATTATATTTTCTAGCTCTATTCAATCAATTCTAAAACACATCAGAGCAAATAAAAAAATAAATACTATTGTCAATATAATAAAAATAAGTAAAAAAATTTAAGTTTCTAATATCCCTTATAAATCTTAGAATAACAAATACAGAAAATATAAAGCTCGTTATCTTCTTAATGTTTGATGATAATGATTATAGAAGTACTTTAACACTGGGAAATCAGGGATTTTGAAATTTAGAAATAAATAAGAAACAACAGATTATAACCAACCTTAACAATTTCAAATGGAAAACGTTCATGAAACAGACGATTGATACGAGCACCACCCGAGAGCTCATTGGTATTTACAGCTGCAGAACCAGAGCCTTCAATATTCTGTTCAAAGTCTGTCTGTAGCTGCTGAATCATTCTGAGGTACAAAATCCAATGCAATATTTAAGATATCACATTCCTACCTAGAGTTCACACTGTATTGTTATTAATACACTATTTGAACAATTATTTCCTGTTAAGAGAAAGAATTGCAAAACAAATACACAGACAGATATTAGTCACATCTCTTAATGCCTGTTTTGTTCATAACAATGAAACTTAGTTAACTAGTTTTGTGGCATAGCAATCCTGCACCTTCAAATATGCATCTCATGGGAAAATTTCAAAATCTTTCCCTCTTCATTTGTGTGTCTAATTTCTCTTTTCCAAACAATTAAGTTTTTATGAGAAAAAGAAAAGATTATCAGAGCCTTACAAATAAGCTTCTACGGTTAAAAAAGCTCAAGTTTTAAAATAAAATGTACACAAATTTTGACTGTCAAACCAGAGATGTCACGTTCAGTCAAAACACCCTATAAATATTTCAGGGTAATTTTTTTTTTATCCTGACATCACAAGATTAAGTTAAAATTACAGATCAATCACATTTGTTTGTAAAATCTTAATAATGGCTATTATTGTTAAATACATGGTTAAATATTTAAAATCACTGATTGCTATGGCAGGCCAATGAAATTACAAGTGTTGGGAGGTTCAAAAACAGTTCTGACAAACCTAACGAGACTAAGATTTGAAAACAAAGAACTACATTAAAACTAAACATGTACGTAAGGTTGAATAATTAAAGTACGTATTAGCGTTAGCTAATACATAAAGCAAACTTAACACAGTCAAGTGACTTGCAATTTGTATATTAACATAATACCTGTAAAATAAACTGTACCTGGCTTAAACATTGAAGAAATTAGGTTTAAATATTCTTAGCCTAATAAAAGTATAGTAGCTTTATATTAATCAGACCTACAGATGAAAAATAAAAAAAAAGAAATAAATAAAGAAGATTTTTAGAAATTTACAAAAATTCTCTAGAAAAAAGATTTATAGTTTGCAATTCTTACTGCATCATGGCCTTAGTTTTACGTGAAGGGTCATCAGGACGAAAACTTTTATACTCTTCAACTTCCTTTTCCATAGAAAGTAACTGACGTTGTAATTTTTCCCTCAATGCCGGCAATGTATCTCGGATATGATTTGTAAGTTGCTGGTTAAGTACCCGTTGCAAATATGGAGTTCCCATTTTCTCTGCCATATGCCTACAGAATTATAATCAAATTAAGTTAAATTTTTGTACAATTACACTGATGTTCTGTGGGAATGAATAGCTTCACTATACAATACCTAGCATTGAGTAAATCACATTTTAAAAAAATTTACCTTTGCCACAACTGAAGACAAGTGTACCTGTTGAAAAAACTAACTTTATTTTTCTATTGGATTTGTTTTAATGTGATTTACCAACCTTCTTTATGTTTTTCTTATGTATCTTTAGCATGAATATATTTTTTCCTACAGAAAGTAACCTTTTCTTCTAGATACATTAACAAGATGCATTGTGAAATACTATATATTTTTGTGATTTAAGCAAAATTAAATTTCAGATCAAAAATTAAAGACTTTACTGTCATTAAAAATAAGTATGATACTTAAAAATTCAGCTGCTGTCTTCTCATGAACATTCAAGACTTAAAACCTTTTTGAAAAGTTAACAGGTTTACTAATAAGCCTTCTTGCTATGGTGTACATCTAAAAATGTATCATGAACTTTCAACTGTACTGGCAAGCTAATTTCTGAGATAATTTTGAAGTAATACTTCTGTATCAGACTGAAACAAAAATACACGTTGACATAGAAAAAAATAAAGAAAATTCTGAAATCATATAATCTACCTGTAGCTAGGATGACTTAGAAAGAATTTCCTCTCTGCATCAAGAGCTGCTTTAATATCTTTTCTTCCTTCAATATCCCTCTGGCTTCTGTTTACCACACCAACATAACCTGCAAGAGATCTGATATTGTCCATAAAACTTTAGCAGGAGAATGGGACATATTCAAGAAGTTAAGCCTTTCTACCCAGTACAGAATATTTTGACTATCTTCTTTGAATCATTGTTCCACATTCTACAGACTCTTATATGTTATCATGATGGTTTAGATAAGCTGTTCATGTAGTATAATAAATGCTTGCATTAAAGTAACATGTGCTACTGGTTCTGATACTTTAACTGGAAGTTTTTTTACTTTGAAACTCAAATTAGCTTAATACTGCGAAAGTGACATTAACTGATTTAAATGTTTTGTGCTTTTCTCATTTGCTACACAAACAACCTTTATTTACCAATACATTTTTTTTTGTAAACATTTCTTTTAGGTGTTCTGCTTTGCAAGTTTTATTATCCTAAAAGACAGTAAAAAAAAACAGACTAGATATTGATTATTAGACTATCCCATTAAGCCATTGACAGATTTAGTGATGTGTTTTATAAGAAAGGTGGCTAAATTTGTCCTCTTTTATACACTATAGACAGAGGAAGTGAAAATGTCTTCAAATGTATATATGCTACAGAGTATGTCTCCAAAAGTAACTTTCATGAAACCTAGAAAACAAATAGTAGATAAAGTAAAGTTAAGACGAATCAAAATTCATGAAATTATATAATTGAAATGCTTTTGAAGACTAGACGATTCTTCTTAAGTTAACAAGGAATAAGCAAAAACTATAAAGTGTGAAAGGTAAGTAATCTTCAGTGATTTTATGGGCTAATACCCTATCAAATTATGTGAAACTGCACTTCCAATAATGCAGTACGTGTGTTAACTTGTGTTTTTGTTACCATCTTTTACATTCAGTGCATAATACAAACAAACACACACACACACACACACAAATTCGTACATATTTACATTAAACAAGAACTAAATGGAAAAATTAACAAAAAATAACCTTAGAAAATGCAACCATGAGGCTAATAAAGAAGAGGTATAAGTGCACTTATATTGAACACCATTTGTACTACATACGTCATGCATATCATGTAGTATTATTCAATCACACTCTGCCATAGTTGATACCTAATTATATGCATGACAGTGGTTGGTTATTTTCTTTCTTTTCACTCACTAAGTGCTCTTTCTTTCATCTATTTTTGATGTTAAGATGTAGGTAATATAGAGATCCACACTTTAAAGGGAAAATGTGCTTCAAAATGCAGAATTTTACATAAACATGAAGTCTGATGGGTGTTCCATGGCAACATAATGCTAATGAAGATCACTTTAATAACCATAATACTTTACAGCTATGATTTATATGTACCTGTACCCAGTGTTTTAGATTAAAAAATTCTTTAGTAATTTTAACTTTTATTTATCTTTTGTTAAAAAGGGATAGTTAGAATATGCATTTATCCTAAAGGAAATTCTAGCAAATCTTCAAAAGATAAACACTTTCCTAGATGGCGACACAATTTGAAAATTCAAGATTAATTATGACATGCCTGAATATTTTATGGTAATGTAATTAAGTTTGATAACAACAAAAATAACACACTTTCAATTTGAACAACACTGGCTATTACAAAGCTAAAAAAAATGTATTTGACCTTGGTGTTAAATATACTTGTGATTGTTTTTGATTTTAACTAAACCTTAAAGATAAAAACTTGAAATGCTCCTGCACAAGTGCAAGAATTTGGTTTGTATTGAAAGGTACAGATAAACAGTTATATTAAGAACAAAAATAAAAACTATTATACTTTTTATAAATGCCTTTTTATTTCATGAAATTCTTAATACATTGTGTCAAATAAAACTATCAATGTGTATGATGTCAGGCCTAAAAAAGTATGTGGCTCAAGTTTCCCAACAAAAATTAATATGGTAGGTACATTAGTTATTTTATAAATGAATGCTTCTAAATTAAACTTTAAATAAAATTTATTTGTTTGTACTGTGAAAGAACGAAAATAACCACAAAAAACTAGGGTTGGCAGTACAAAATAGGGGTGGTCTGGATACTTGATCTACAAATTTTCCTTTTAAGATCCTTAGTAGGATTGTTTGTATTTCAGGTTCTGTGTGAAAAATTAGAAAAAGATGTGCACTGGAAAAGTGTAGAAAAATTCTACACGTGCTATCAGTTTACAGGGATTAAGGTAGACAAACTCCAAGGTCATTTTGATATACACTGATAATGTTTTACTGAATAAACTTCATATTTGAAAACCAAAGTCACTATTAAAACTTGTCCACAATGGACTTTCATTAACTTTTTTTTTAAACCCTGAGATGACATCAGAGCAAACCAATAACACAAATTATATCCTCAAACATTAAACCTTTACCTGTGATCTGGACTTTTAAACAGGACATATGAGTATTGAATACCCACCACCTTATAATGATGAATACCTTACTTAGACATTAAAATATATTTCTTTGCAGATATATACAAGCAGAAACATAGAAAAACAAAATTAAAATTTTGGAGATATGAGGTAAAAAAATATATTGTAACATAAGCTGATTCTCTCATAATGTTACACATGTTGTATATGAATCATTACAGTTAAGAATTAATCCATCAAAAAAATATGTTGTTACAAAGTCATATTAAGTATACCAATGAGTCTTGGGGATTTTAGTATATTATATTTTATGCATTCAGCAGCAAGAAAAAGTCTTACCTCTGCGCAAGGGAAGGGTCTTGTTTTCAAGAATGTCACGAGCATCTGTTCCCTCATCCATTAGATCCAATTTTGTGATGACTCCTATGGTACGCATCCCTATAAGTAAAAAAATATATGGTTTATATGTGTTGCATCACATTAACTTACAGCCAACTATTAGTGAAAACAAGATACACATGCTCAGTTAGTGACATTACATACAATTAATTAAAGACATAAAAACAAATTCTTAGGTATTATCAAGAAAGAGAGATTTTTATTGAATTTATAGATTATAAAGATCTCAAAATCAGCGATCTTCAGAAAATAGATTAATCACATCAAATGTATCAAATAGCTTTCAATATGTAAAAAACTGCTGTTACCTGATTATTTTAAGTACAAGTTCAGCAGTAACTATTCACCTGTGAATTTTTGTGTTACTAAAATTAATCTTACTTTAGTCCTCAAAACTTTAAAAGAAACCCCAAAATAAAAAAAAAAATGAATCTTACAATTTTTTTTAATTAGTAGTTGACATTTTACAAGAAACTTTTACTCAAGTAGCTTTTTCTTGATTATTTACTACAATGACTTGACTTTAAATAACATATTAATTGGCAGCACCCTTTTTTAGCAATTTAAAGTTTATACTTTATGTGAAAACACTCATTTGAATTTTATATCTAGCTATTGTGCTATATGTGCAATGCATTATTCTTTATGAACAAATAGAAAATCAACATCCACAATTATAAAACCAGTAACACATGAAACTACATTTTAGGTAAAAACATTCAGAAATGTATCACAAGTTGATCATTACCAACTCAGTTGCAGTGGTCTTTATTAACATTTAAAATGGTTTTTAAAACATAAAATGTTAATTGTTACTTGCATTAATGTTTTAGTAGAACAATTAGTATTCAATACAGATGAGTTAATTGGAGAAAAGAAGGAAGATGCTCTTGTTAATATCTCACAGCGTGCGAACATTTTATGCCCAAACCTAGAGGATCTACCTCCATTGCTAACTTCAAAGCATCTGATGTGACTAGATCAGCATTGGCTGGAGTGACAGCCAGAATAATACAATTTTCCTTAGAAATGAATGACATGATTAACCCATGTAGTTTCTTTTCAATGTCAAGTGGCTGGTCCCCAACAGGTACTCGAGTTATTCCAGGGAGGTCAATAAGAGTCAAATCAAGAACTGGAAGAAAAAAGAAAGAAAATAAAAGATGAATGTATGCTTATAAAAGTTTTAGAATGGAAGAACTCATATTTTTACCTTCTGGATCAACTTCTTTGGCAAGCTTCAGGGCATCAGAAGTGGCCACATCTTGATTTGCAGCAGTGACAGCAAGAATGAGACAATTCTCTTTACGAATAAATGATAGAATCATATCTCGAATCTGGTGTTCAATGTCAGCAGGCTGGTCACCTACTGGCACTCTTGTCATCCCAGGTAAGTCAATAAGGGTTAAGTTTAAAACTAAAAGAACCAGCAAAAATGATATTTATTTATTTACCAATGTCACAGGTAGGTCAATAAGGGTTAAGTTTAAAAGAACCAGCAAAAATATTTATTTACAAATGTCATAGGTAATCAGGGTTCTCAATAGGACTTCAGAACTTGGGGCAAAATACCCATGGTTATCAAATTCTGAGGTGAACAGTTATGCCTCTCTTTATATCATAGTGGTACCCTGTTAGTTTTGGATCTGTTCAATGTGTATAAATATATGTGTTGATGTTTGTGACTTTATAGTGGGGGTGGAGTGAAAAAAAGAAGAAACTGTGATTTAGTCTAACAAATACTCACTGAAAACTGGTAAAAGATGTCAGCTTTCACCACTTTAAAACAAGTGTGTGTGATCATTATGTAATAATTACAAGTCATGGTAAGCATTCTTTAGCCAAACAATTAGACTGAGTGCCAATTACTATTCAAAGGTGCAATAAGTAACAACTGATGAAATATAGAGAAAATATAGTATAAAAACTCGTGTCTGGAGCTAAAAATCAGTTCTCCAGGAAGAACTGAGGTGCTCCAAAGAGCTGGTGGCAGTTCCAAGCAACTATGAACAAGAAGGTTTCCAATCTCCAGAAGTTTACTAGTCCAACTCTGTTGTAAGTGTAGAATTGTTATCTCTCTTGTTCAATTAATGTAGTTTACTACAGGAAGTTAATGCTTATAATACAGAGAAATATTCTTTACGTATTGGTTAATAGTGTTTAACTGAAAAGTGAAACGTAGAATTGTAAGAAACTAATGATTTAGTAAATGTTTAACTATTGATGATAAAAGTATATACTATGTGGAAAGACCAAATAAATGTTGATGTATTTTGTTCAATGTCAGTCTTGGAATCTGTTTATTTATTCTAACTGTAAATTACCTCGAGTTAGTGACTTGTGAGCTCCACTTGCCACTGCAATCCTCAACTAAATAAATTTGGTGTAATCAGCAGTATAGTTGAAACTACAACGACTAGCCCTAAGGGCACTGTCTGTTACATTATAATGCTAAAATGAGTATATTTTTATTTACATTTTTCATGTGTGTGGGTGTGAACCAAAATTTTCCTGCACAAACGCATCTATATGATGTGACTTTTGTGCATGAACTCCGAAATTTTTACATTAAATACTTGGGGTTTTTAGCTATTGAGAACCCTGGTAAGTTAATAAGGATCAAAATTAATAAAATTAAACTATATTCTACAGCAGGTTTTAACTGAAAAAACAATATGAACAGAAACACGAGTAAAAAATAAAAAATACAGATTCAAATAAAGAAAAATTCAGTATTACTCACTATTAAATTGATGATTTAATGCCAAAAGTTTAGTGATAAATGTTGCATACACAGGTATACGTTTAGTGTGTGTGAGTGCACACTCACATGTGTAATAAAACAAGCATTATTGTAAAAATGAGTTTGACTAATGAAAAACATTTCATTAATTTGTTCAACTCTATGTTGCAATGCCCTGCCCCATGAACAAAATTTCACCATTGAATTAAAAAAAGAAAAGAAATAAACCTGTAGCCATTCTTACATTTTTTAAAATACTTCATAGTTTATTCCATAAACAGGTTTATTTAATTTTATACCCAAAAATTAGACTTTGGGTTGCTCTTAGCTAACTCTGAACCATAAACATTAGTGTTTCGAAATTTCCTGATTTTGTTTTATGAGTATAATATGACAACATTCATAATTCCCAAAATGAAATTTGAAATATTTTGTACAAAGCAACAACAATATGGACCTTGTAACTTCAACATGAGTGGTTTTATCAATTCTAGATACTCACTGTTTCTCAAACTCGGTTATCATGGTGTGATATAACTACCTGTACCTCAGTTTGAGAGGTTATAGGTTAACAAGTTAAATATTCCTTAAAATCTTTTTCCTGTTCTTTTCAAATCTAGAATAAGCTTTCATACAAGTTTCTAGCTTTATTAAACAGTTAATTTTGAAAAATAACCATGGAAGGTTTAAAAATAGTAAATAAAAATTATGAAGGAATATGCACATTTGGTTTTAACATAATAATTCATTTAAATTGAGTTCAACTTGTTCTGTGTATTCATATATATATATATATATATATATATGTGTATATTATACTGCAAGATGTTAACATTTTAATTATTACATCTTCAGAACTGTCCATAAAACACAATTACAAAACTAAGATACTGAGAAAAGTTATGTAAAAAATAACAGGTCAGGTACCTAAAGAAAAAAAAACAGTGTGATTACAGCATAAAGAAAAAACTGTTTTTTGTTTTGTCTTCTTGTGAGAAGAGCAATCAATGAAACAGTTATATGTTAGTGGTAGCTAAGCCAATATTGGAGAGAAGGCACGAAAAGCTAGGGACCACAAAGCTTTGGTCATTCATAAAGCAAGAAAAATCAATAGCACCAGCTGTTAGATACAATATTAGCTGTTTCAGCTTCAGTTTCTTGATAATTCTTTTTCTTGAAAATACCAAACTTTTATGAAAAATTACTGCAAATATATTAACTTTTGAAGTTTGCTCTAATGAGAAAATACAGTGGATGTTTACTAGTTTGTAAGTCCCATTATTTTCATATTCTCTGTGTCACGTGTTATAAAATCAAGAGAGAAAAATCAAAAAGGCTTTTTAATATGAGCTCAACCTTTCAGTCATGCATTCATTTACTAAAATCTTAATTATTGTTTCTTCAATTACAATAATTCAAAGCTTTCCAGTTTAATTAGTTATTGTAAGTTCCTTAAACAGAATTTTGAATTATCCATAAAGACAGTACAATGACATTTAAAAACTCCAATGCAGTTACTTATTAATGTATGTTTTAACTATTAATGAACTACTAGACAACTGACTAAACCACTGAGTTAGGCTAAATAAAAACAGGTACGAGTAATTACTTATATACTTGGCTTAAAAAATAAATTATAAACCTTATCTAACTTAACAGTGAATGTAATTAATATTGTTACGAAACAACTGGAGGTTCATCATAGGTTTTTATGAATTCTACAAATAGTTTAAAAAATTAATAAAATAAGTCTGATCCATGCAATTTGAAAAAAATACATCAGATGCTCATGCCAGAAGCAACTGTTCCCTTAAGCTTTTCTTTCTATGTAATACTGACAAACTTCCACATTTATACATAGATAAAGTTTATTGTCAAGGCATACGTTTGAAGTATGGCATTGTTTTACAAACATACACAAATAACATTCTAGTGGTGATTGAGCTACTTAATTATTTTGGTTTTCTAGTTGTCACAAACATTAGGTTTATGCACCGATATTGATTTATCAAATCAATTTCCAGTCCTCAAGTTTGCTTACAGCTCATGGCTAGGCAATCAATACATGCAGTAATATCCATATTAAACAAAGCTAGGATATTTTTAAACATACAAAACTATGTAAGACTTTCACACATTTTAATTTTTTGGAACTGGAGAAGAGCATCAATAATATTTTTTTAAGTACTAACTACTTGCACATTTAGTTTCATTAACTGTCTTATGCTTAACCACTAATCTTCAGTAACAAGGTTATAAATAATACTTTTATACTAATATTTAAAGGCATGCAAGTTCTTTTTTGATGGTCTATGTAAATCTATTCTATAAGTTGATTCCCCTATAGTATTTAATGTACTATAAACAAAGACATTAATTTAGGAAAATATACAGCAAAAACAATACATATAGTTTCATCATGACTTAATATTATGGTATAAATAAAAATTTCATAGATACTAATGTACTGACTACTAGTACCCAAACATTTATATAAAAGTGCTTAAAGAAAACACAAACTTAACTATATAAAGCATTAAAATCAATCAAAATAGCTGTGAGAAAAGCTCTTATGTTTTCTTGATAACTTGTGATAATCTAATTACATAAAAAATGTTTGATACTAAATAATGTATCATCTCTTAAAGCTCAAACAATGAATTTCTAAACAATTCATCATATTCTCAAAATATTACTGTTCCTTATGTATGGCTATCAGAAATTTTGTATAGGAAGCCAATCTGACTTATTTAAAAAGACTTCCTTGAAATTCAGCAAAGGTAGCATATTCTCAAAATGTAATAAAATGGTTAAAACAGCTGTAATGAAAATAAGTTGAGAATGTTTCAGGTGAATGACCTTCAGTTTGTATGAAGGTCAACTGGCCTAAACATTGACGTTTAATTATTTTTTCTTTTATCAGTTGTATATACTTTTGTACTTTCAGAATTTATTACATTATCATTGCATTTGTTTATTACTAATGCTAGAATATTGTAAATGAAATACATTTTGTTCACAGTAAATTCAAATGATAAATTAACATGCACCCAGTTATTAAATTTATTTTGCATTAAGACAATCCAAACTAAGAAAGAGCACACAAGCTCAAAATATAAATGTAACATAAAAATCAATATTCTTATCAAGAAATATTTTTATACAATAATTCAGTGAACTTTATTAAGTTTTATACACTGTTTAGTTTCCTCTGAAAAAAAAGAGTTACCAGAACACTAAAAAGTAGTTAACTTTCAAAATTTCATCTTTATATCTTTAATGTGGTAGTTAAAACACTTAACTGAATAGTAATGCATTCCAACATGTTTAACAGATCTGACCCAATAACTATCTTGTAAAACAAAACATCCACTAAAATATCAGATCAATTCATTACCATGAGGAGAATATACTCTCAAATTGATTGGGACAGGAGAAATCCCCTTATTAGCTCCTGTGATTCTGTCAGTTTCATCTTCAATTTCTTTTCTAATTGCTTCAAAGTCTGTAAATTTCTTTCCTTTACAGTGTAAAAATTCTCCATACTCTGTAAAAATTATATACCTCAGTATGCTACTAGAGTTATGCATATTATTAAAAAAATTTATATTAATAAAACAAATACTATTAAGGGAAAAAGCTTAAGTATCATTAAAGGATGAACCACCTAAAGTGAAATGAATCTGAAAATTTTAATGTTTAGAAAAGACAAAATTCTCCCATAATAAACTAATTTGTAATTTTTTATCTGCAAAAATCCCAACCTTGTATTAGGTTTCATATCAGAAGCTACAGTCCAATTCCAGTCTCATTATGTTTAAAACTTACTATAACCAATATTTTGTTGCCTCTACTATTATGTATTTTTACAGTTCCTTATACGTAAAACCTCAGTTTTGTTTGAACAATGTAATTTGTTTCAGGTTATTTTTTTTTCTTTTGACTATGTAAAATGATTTACCAAACATTTTACTTTTCTGTATTTATAAACAAATCATATTAAATAATAAAACATTGGAATAAGAACTACATACAATTACTCATTTCACAGAAATAAAAGTCTAAAAAAAGCAAGAATTAATTACTAAGTTAATAGAAAACATACAAAAGAAGCAAAATAAAAAGTACAACTGCATTTCATTCTTATTATCATCACATGGTAAAAACAAGTTGTTTTGTAGGAAGAACTTACCAACATTAGAATTGACTAGTTGCAGCACTAGAGGTCTTCTAGTAACAATCCCAGAACCTCGTGGTAGAAAATCTCTGAGAAAAAAATTATTATTAGATTATAGGAAACTGTCATATGTATGAAAAAGAAAACACATTTGGTAAATATGTGCACTGTCATAGAAAATTAGAGATTAACAGCTATTATTGTACATTCATGTACAAAAATACATGTGCATCAAGGAAGAAATATGACCAGTGTTGACAAATTTTGTAGTCTTACTGAATGTGTATGGGGTAGGGTCAGTCTAATGAATTATCCCTGTATTGGAGAAGGAATGTTGACTCTAATTCCAAGTTTATTACATGTATCAGTCCTTCATATTTGATGGTTGCCACTGCACTGACTTGAAAGCACCCATTAAATGGGTTTTGCGAGAGCTTATTAGAGCCTCTGTCAAGTCTTTCACGATGCTAGCTGTTCATGCAATCAGCTGTTGTTTATTTACACAGGGCAAGCTCACACATAACTTCATGTGGCCCTGTTGGCTACTATTACTCTGTTATTTTGATTTTAATTTGTCTAGCCTAGCAATGTTACATGCACAGTAGTATATTTTTGTATTATATGGAAATCCAAAACATGTAACTGAGAAATTAAGTCGATGTGCTAAAGTTTAAATTACAAACTGGTTATTAATTATTAGTAAATTCAGAAAAGCAAGAAGAGCTTTATGAAATTTGTTTGTGAAATAAATTGATTTGATGAAATAAGAGCTGTCATACTGATCAAAAATCTTCTTAATTCAGTTCTGGTTTCAATTTAGCCAGCAAAACTGTTTTATTGCCAACATTCAGCAAGTAGAATCTTGGTAGAAAAATTGGATTTTCTTCTTCAAAGGACACCTTACGAGGAGATACCATAACGAAAATTTGGTGCATGTGATTGTGCTAAACACAGACAGAAGAAATCGAAAGCATGTGAAAGGGAGCAGTCAACAAGAGATGGACTGAATTCATAATGACGTACACTGTCACCATTTGAATTCAAAAACATTGTCTGTCATGATGTGTACAGCCTGTATCATCAACTAATTACAATTTATGGTCAATAATCTATAATATCACCTTTGAATTAAACCCAAACGTTGCCTGTAAATGCCTATGTATTTATTTTTGCAAGTTGCAAGCACCTACACATTCAGTAATTTATTTAGGTTTATTTTACATCAAAACTGTCATTGATTCTTTTAAGTGCTTATAAATTATTGGGTCAAGGCCTAACTTGATGGTATGCATTTTAACCAATTTTCAAGTTACTTGTGAACTTTTGATTTGGTTATTTGTTAATTTTGTGTCAAATTAGCATATACTAAGGTAATTACAGAATGATTTTGTAGCCATTATTATTTAAGTACCAATTTAAACATAACTGTCTTTATTTTATGTACAGTATTATCTGTTCATTTATTTTTCTATAAACTGATAGGCCTATACATACATTATTTTTGGTAAATTTCTGTGTTATCAGTCACACGATTATATTTTACATAGATTCTACTGTCCATTTATCAATTAATTTAAGCTTTGCTGTTTTTATTAAATTGTTTTGTTATTATGTATGTTATATAAAATTTATACATTTATATATTTGTGTTTTTAAGGCTTTCAAAAGTTGCTTCAAAATGATGGGAAGCCTCTTCCTAGCACCAGTGGTACAGCTAGTAATGGTCCTTATTCCAGCATCTTTCTTCAACTTCAGATAAACATAGCTCTGTATTCACAAGCCAAGGAAGCATACAGAAAGCTTCTTACAACAGCTTACTTACTAGCAGTGGATGAACAGCCTCTGTCAGCATTAAAACTCTAGTCAAAGTGCAAAAACAAAATAGGGTACAATTGGTTTCAAATTTTGATAATGCCAATAGAGTGAAAGAATTCACTACTGTTATTGCAGAATCCATTAACCAGAAAGTAGTAGTGATTTTATATTCAGCAAAAGCTTTTGCAGTGCTTAGTGATGGAAGTCAGGCAAGAAAAAGTGGCTCTGAAAAATGAACTGATTTTCATTAGAATAATCAAGTTTATTTGTGTGATGCCTTACAGGACATTGATAACTTTGCTGATGCAGATGCAAATAATCTAATGAGGAGCATTGAGGATGTATTCAAAGATAATGGAAAGGTTTCAATTCCAGCAGAAAAATACACTCACCTGCTTGTTCCAGCTACAGCTAATGGAGCCTCTGTTAGCCCTTTCGCAACAGGCTCGGTATATAATACAAGAGTTCATATACACACATGCACACGTTAATTATTATAACTTTTAATGCAGTATGTTTATCTTCACAAAATTTGGTAACTTTCAGTAAACACTAGAATTTTTACTAAAGATTTGTTTCTGAATATATCATGTCTGTTTCATTACTAGTCCGAGTGCAAAGTGAATTTCTGTTATGATTAAAAAAACTATTCTTCATCCCCAAAATCTCAAATATCATTTGTGTAATCTCTAAAACCTCTTAAATACATTTCAAATGCTTGTTTTCAGTAAAACTTTATATTTTATCTGTTATTTTCTCTACCCTAACTCTATACTGGATTCATTAATTTGACCAACCTCATAATCGCAATGAAAAATTAAGAAATAAATATAGATTATGCTTTTTTCATTCTAGAATGAATCCATATTATAACACAAAAACACAAATGTTTAGTTTAAATAGCTTAAATCTCATAACAGTATACATTTATTATTTTTATCATATTGACCTTCCAGTTGTGCCTGGCTAACATTACAGAATTATGCAATGATGCACCACATGTGCACTCATGCTACTGTATCCAAGAATATAAAACTGGCCTTTACAAAGTGACCTGTCTTGGTTTTGTTTTCGTGGACTAGTATTTTGTAAAACACAGTAACATTTCAGTTAAAATACATTATCACTATTTACAAATAAGTTCCTAACTTATTTTTCTTAAAACATAGAACAGTAAATAAAGAAGTATAGCAAACAATTATCTCTTCTAGTTACAAACTTTGTACTCATTTACTGCTTGCCATAGGTTGCTAAGCCTTAGCAAATTTTGAACATGGATGATGTGAAACAAAATTTATTTTAGGTTTTATATACACATTTGAAATAACCAAAAATCATAAATTACTATATCAATACCATAGAATTCCACTATAATTTATCAAGCTTAGTAATGAAACTGTTTTTGGGTAAAAAATTATGAAATTTTGAGATAACTAAAGACTTACCTTATTAGCTTGAAATATTGTATCAAAAGAACAAGACTGACACCCTTATACTTCAAAATGGCTGAGAAAGCCACTAGGGGGTAGTCTGAGCTTTCAATTGGTTATTCACACATCACAGACAGAATTTGATTTACGTAGGGAGTGTTTCCAAAAATTGAAAGAGATGGGCGGGGCCTCTGTGTTTGATTCAGTAAATGTAGCGAGATTCTCAGCAAATAGAAAAGATAAGAGGTTCTCATTTTATATTCTAGCTTGTCAATATCGGTAATTTGAGTTTCCAATTTGTACGAAACTACAGACTTTGTATTCTGACATAATAAACATCTAATTTGAACCAGTGCTGCACTCAACACACCACATGACACAAAAATCAAAATTTATGTGTTTTTTATATTATTTACTTTTAAATTAAGAAATTAATTAATATATAATACTAAACTTTGAATTATAATCTACAATTTGATACCAAATTTATAGACATAAATTCATAAAATAGTAGTTCAACAACATTTTGAATGGAAGTCAACAAACTCGATGACATGGCCTTTGACCCGTGACCCCTGTTGATACGGCTAATACTACAGTTTGGATTCCTAAGAAAACTAAAAAATGACAATCACCTTTGGCTTCTAGGCATTCACTGCCTTTTCCACAGTGTTCAGTTGGCACTGAAGGATTGTGTAACTAAATCATTTGCTCATGTGAAAAAGTTCATGAAAACTATATATTACTTATTCAAACAATCTGGGAAATTCAAAAACCACTTTGAGACAATGCCAGTGTATTTGGTGTGCAGAATTTTAATTTTCCTAGAATGCACGGTACATAATTTGTTGCACACATAAGACATGGAGTAAATAATTTAATACATAATTGAGTAATTCTTGTTTAAGCAATAGAGAATTATCTTACCAGTTGCAAGGAGATAGTAGTACCAGCTAAATTTCATGGACTCTTAAAAAATATGAAAGACTTTACTTTTCTGTCAAAATGTTACTTGTACAAAGATGTGTTGCATGCAGGTTCTATTCCATCCATGTAATTTGAAAAAGAAAACATTTTGTGCATATCATATACTGCCTATGGTAGAAAAAGCAAAGGGTGCCTTTCTGAAACTCAAGGGAGAAACTTCAGGTACACACTTTGAAAAAAAGTTCAAACTTCAAATGGAAATGAAATTAGTTTCCTGGCATCTTAAGGGCACTTTGCTTAAAGCAGAGTGCCAGAAAAACAGGGAATATACTATTGTTGGTGTCAACTAAAGTTTGCTTTATGTATCCAAATTGAGTCTAAGTATACTTTCAAAGCATTATAATGAGATACTACAAATCAATAATTTTGATAAAACTAAGATAAACTCTGAATGGAAAGAATTCTAGAGAATAGTTAAGTACTACACGAAGGAGTCAAACTAAGGATCTCTAGAAGCATTTGCTTCTATATCAAGGGAAGGAATTTAAGAATGTTTGCTGGTGGAACTAGTGCTCTGCATAGGGCCTAATAATAGTTTTGTTGCAGCAGGGCTTAGTCACCTTAACCACATACTCACTGACCATAGGCTTAGCTTAAAACATGTAACAATGGAGAACCTCCTATTGGTTAAAACAAATGATTTTGTATAGACACATGAGGAAAAGGAACAAATATTCAGAAGCAGGCTTGGAGAAGTTTATCACAAAAAGAAGGAAAAGAAAATTTGATACAAATCCCTCTTACATGTCTATAGAAAGTGCAGCCTAGAAATTGACATCAAACATGTACAATTAAATTACTCTGTTGATGATGAAGATTTGATTATGGAGATTACGATGAGGATGATTCTCATTCTAGCATGTCTAGTAGATCAAGTGATTAAGCTGAAACACAAGATTCTTTATCAAGAACTAACTGTACAGGAATCATTTGATGTTGACACTACTGATGGAGATGATTCTCTTGTAAACAGCGTGTTTGAGGATAATAACTGAGTATGCTCCAGCAGCTAACAGTTAAACATAAACAGGACAGAGAATCTTGGTACATACAAATGACTCTGCAAAGTCAACTTACTTCAAACTAATTAGATTTTTTATGAGATGTGAGCTTATGTACACTTGACTTTTAATTTTTTGAACATATAGTGAAATTGGTGTATTATTTCAAAGTAAAAAATGTAAATACCATTTTATTCTTATCTGTAAGTTATAAAAGAGTAATTATATGATTCTAATCAAGATGTTTTGTGCCAAACTTTAAGTAGATTATATTATTGTAATTTTTCCAATCTAACTATATATAGAAATTTTTTTGACTGTTACTTTGTTTATTCATCAAATTAATGTACTAGCCTTATATTTGTCTCTTACCCTTACTTTGACCTTGAAATATAACCACATGTTCACTTAATAAGAAAACAATACAATTCAGTCATTACAAATTAACTTTTACTATCCAATTTTGTAAACAAAGACTAGAAATATAGCATCAACTCGCAAACAGCCTGTGGCAGGGGATGTTAACAGCTTTCATGCATTTTTCAATGTATGTATATGAAATGTGACAAGCTTTTAGTAAAATACACAAGTCTGTTGTACAAAAAAATCTGATGTGTTACAGAAGTATTTGTGCTCAAAATACGTTTGTGAACTGACAACATCAGTCTGACTCAGCGTGTAAGATAGTATTCATGTTAAGAATAAAAATACTGATGTTCACTATACAGTTTGCATATAGAACACCCAGAATGCATAACTATAGTTTTTCATTATCCCTGTATATTATGTCTAGTATTTACTCTCCTCTACCATAAACTTTGCTAATTGAACAATGTAGAATGAAAAGTTGATAACTCTGTCATCAAACACGTAACATGATAAATGGTATTCTGCAATATGTCAGGGCATGTGCACTTTGACCCCCAACCATGCACATGGCAGATAATATTAAACTGTTTCCATGGATATTTGTTTAATTAACCAATGTTTGGATGAGAAAAAAAAAAGCAATTTTATAGCTGTGATAGTGTATTTAATTACCAGCTTCGTCATCTTTGCTCTTCTAAGGCATACTTTACTTTATATATACATTTATAACCAATTATGCCTTATAAGAGCAAAGATATTTTACATATACTCACAGGATTTATTGATAAGGAATATTGTTTGTAGAGCAGACCAGCAAAAAGAACACCAAGAATAATAATAAATTTGAAAGCTAAATTCTCAAGTTACTTTTATTAATTTTTTTCTGAAGTCTACCTATAAGTAGGATCAGAGCATCAAGCCCCTACCTATAGTATAACTGAAGAAAAAGAATTCAAGCACGTTGGTGAATAAGACATTACAAATGCTAAACACAAAACAAACTGCAATTCTCAACTATTGAATTCAACAGTATGAATAATTTCATTTGTGAGCTTGTAGTTTACTGATTATGGTTAATTATATTGTACCTTTGGAATCAATTTGCATGAATTAAAAATTTTAATGAAATTATGCTTTAATAACTTTTCAATCAAGATATGTTGCATAGTCTACATTACTGTTACTACTGTTAGCTATTACTATTACCAAACTATTACTCATGCACTACAAGATTAACAGTTACTGAGTTAGGATAAACTTCCTTCTGACTCAGAAAACTGGTTGCATTCTTAGAATTGGGTAATCTCAAGCATCAAAATTTAATTTCAAAGTGTTCTAATCAGTTCTTTGGAAATAAATGATTAGATAATTAAGTGTTTGTAGAGCAAAATAATAAAATTTAAATATTACAATACTTTTAGTGAATTATTGTTCCAATCTAAGTTAATTTCTTTGATACTTAAAAATATATGACAGGAAAATCTTAAATTAATATAAGGGCCTACCATCAGTACCAGGCAAAAATAAGTATTCACAATCACACCCAGTCTCGCGTTGTAACTGTTAGTATCACCATCAGTGATACTATTACTAGTGTCAGTATCGTATTCACTAATTCAGTCCCAATCATTCAGTGATTGGTTGCAAATGCAAAAAATTCAACTTTTCAGTTACGTTTATGTATCTCTAAACTACCATTAAATATATCTTTCCAGGCTCAAAATTTAAAACCTTCGTAGTCTGTAGAAAAAACATAAATTACTTACCTTCCAACAAAATTTTCAAGAACGCTACTTTTCCCTGCGCTTTGGCCTCCTATAACAGCTATTTGAGGTAAATCTAAGGAAAGACTAACTCCTAGCTGGGTAAATGCATCTTGGAGTTTATTAACTAGGGGTATAAGATGTTCCATTCCTTCATTTCCAGCCATTATTTAAGAAGGAATAACCCAATGATTATCCGCACTCAAAAGATCAACAGACTACATTAATTTATAGTTAGTTAGGCAAGCTGCCTATGTCTCTTCCACTTGCTGAGCCGAGTGTAATCAAGATGGCTGAGATTCCTTTGACGCATGCGCAACTTATTGATTGAGCGTAATATCCATAATCGGAGATATTCCTAACTAGGTCAGTATCTCATTCAAGTGCGTTATAGCTTTTTATTTATGTTTAGGAAGCAATTACGATTTTCACGACTTTAGCTTTCTCTTTTTAATATAATCATTTTTATTATTTCATTATTTACAAAACTGTTAATTATTTTGAATATGTCGGATATACCCTAAAAGTATTTTTATTCGTTTGTTGTTAAGCGCAAAACTACACAACGGGCTATTTGTGCTATGCCCACCATGGGTATCGAAACCCGATTGTTAGCATCATAAGTCCAAAGACTTACTGCTGAGCCACAGGGGGCTCACGTCGAGTTTTAAATGGGCCCACATCTTTGCAAGGGGTAAAATATAGGCATTTAAAATAAATTTTCAGTATGAACTAATTAAAAGACACGGTTGACGTTTGTTGAATTTCACACAAAGCTGCTCAAGGATCTCTGTTCTAGAAGTAATAAACTAGAGCCAACACCACCTACCGCCAACTCTTGGACTATTCTAATAGAAAAATAGGATTGACTGTCACATTATAACGCCCCACCGGCTGAAAGAGCGAACATGTTAAGTGATGGGATTCGAACTCGTGACTCGTAGATGACGCCAGGCCCTGATACGGAGATCATACTTACGAAATATTTTAGACATTTAGTTAATACTAGCCGCGATCTGCGAAACATTAACGGTAGTTTTTATGCCCACGCTTGAATTTCCATATTCTATCATTTTAACGCACACCATTTACGCTACGCTTTAACATAACATAATATTTAGGGACAACAAGGGACCTATTGGTCCATATCGGCTGTTACATCCTCTAAACTAACCTATTATATAAAAAATAGAAAATCTTAAAGCTAGCCCTTGTTATTCATATAGCTATCAAGTTTTCTCTTAAATTCAGGTAAATTTACTGCCTCCACAGTATCCGAAGACGACCCATTCCAGAGACCAGCCACCCTATTAGAAAAATAAAACTGTCTTAGTTGAAGGTGACTCCTACCTTGCCAAAATTTATATTTGTTTCCTCTATTCCTATTATTCTCGCCGTTAAATATGAAAAAAAGATGATGCACCACCACCACCATCAATTCCCTTTACAATCTTAAAAACCGCAATCAGGTACCCCCCAATAGTTTCAAAGATCTTAATCTCTCCTCATATGAAAAACCCTCCATCCAAGGCACCATTCACCAAATGTGGCCTAACCAGAGACCTATACAATGAGATTATAACCTCTTTAGACTTGTATTCAATATTGCTGTAAATACAACCTAAAGTCCTATTTGTCCTACCACTAGCAACAGCACACTGCTTGGATGGCTTAAGAGACTGATCTACCATTACACCAATATCCCTTTCTGTCATTACACTATTGAGGTTATTTCCATCTAAATTATATTTTTACATCAGCGGAAGTCACGTGACGCTAGTAATACGTCATGATATTCTAGAAGGATCGTGTCTCTTCCTGGCAACTCTAGTATTCTCTACTCGCCCTCTATTTTTATATATATATAAGCCAGCAAATGAAGTGACGGCATAATAGATAATAGCAGACAGAGAGATTGAATATATAGACGGACAATTGAGTCAAACGCGGTAGTAAGTAAAGTGCGTGAATCGTTCTTTGTGAATTATAGCGTGTGTTCAAGTTAAAGTGACTGTGGAAATTAAGTGTATTGCAAAGTTGAGTTGAGAAAGAATAAACTAGTTTTATTTAAGAAAGGACTCGTATCGATGAAGTTTATCGGAAAGAATTTCTACGGAAAATTAACAAACGAACAAGAGACGTAACAAATCGGTGTCAGAAGCGGAATAGAAAATAAATATAAAAAAAAAGAAGAAGATGGAAACGAGAGGTGGCAAATCAAACTACGGCTTAGCAGATTTGATGGCAGCAATACAAGAACAGCAAAAGAAGCAAAAAGAACGAGAAAAAAAAACAAGAAGAGAGATTAGAGCAGTTGTTGGAGGAAAAAGAAAATTAACAAGAAGAGAGACTACAGCAGTGGTTGGAGGAAAAAGAAAATTAACAAGAAGAGAGACTACAGCAATGGTTGGAGGAGAAAGAAAATAA